ATGGAAATAATAATTTTGAGTTTTAACTAACGTGTAAGTGACCTAAGATGGTGTCCAAAGCTAAATGAAGGTCATTAAGTTCCATTCTGGTGCATTCTCTTTAATCACTGTGTTCTTCTTTTCAAATATTACCTATAATATTTTTGCAATCAATTATATGTTACAAAAATCTGCAAAGTGTATGTTGTTATCCCATTTTACGGAAAGATCACATGGTGATATGAAGGAATCTCAGGCTCAAACTCCATTATGGCAGAACCTAGGTGACAGCTGATAGCCTCCAGGAAGCAGTGTGACCTCTTCTTTTTGTTCTTTTCCTTCTTGATCTTCCTAATCTTCCCACCTTATCTAAAAATGTAACAACACCAACTCACTTCCCCATTTCCCTGCTTTATTTCTCTTCATAGCTCTTACCACTATTTGTTATGTTACATATTTATAAATTAGTTTATTACTTTTGGTGGTATATAAACTCTATAAGAGCAAGAATTTCTTTTTTTGGATGTAAACTTCTCTTAATGAAAATTATTAATTATTTTATATTTTCCAAAATAAAAATTGGGGTATTTTTAGGAATAAAATACTGTGCATTTCATTTGTTGGGATCAAAAGAAAATACATTTAAAGAGGGTATGTGTGTGTGTGTTTTTAACAGATGATGTTAAACCTACTTTGTCATGTATATGATGAACACAGCTAAAAATTACTCTTCCTGGATTTGTATGATTTTAAAATATAGCCCACTTTACTTGCATGGAGATTTTTATTCCAGAAAGGTATGGAACATGACAAGCTGACAATCTTTCGCTGGGATGCTGTCACTGCTTGTCTCAGATCAACTGACAAGACCTCAGCTGGTCCTCTATAAGTTGTTTAAGAACACTTCTAGAACCATCCTAATGGGCATGTTCCAACTGTCACTTAGAAAAAAATGATCACTTGAGATCAGTCTCTATAGCGGGTCTTTTGGCAGAAAACCAGTCATATCATTCTCTCCAATAGAGGCTGTGTGGGGAAAAAGGCCTTATCAAATTCCTTGGACGTGAAGTGACTGTTGGAACTATTCTCAAAGCATTCTATTACCATGCAAGGAAGCTGCAGCTTTTGAAAGGTCAAGAGTGGCCTTACAATGATTTAGACCATCTTATGATAGTTAGGAACTGAAGATGGTTTTAATTCTATAAAAGCTTTGGGTCTTAAGCTCTTTTGTGAGAAGAATCTGTGTATCATTAACTAAACCACAACTTCCTGACATAATTGTTAAAGAGACCAAGACTGAGAGACTAACAATAACCCTCACCGTACCCTGGACTTGGATTCAAAGTGTAGACTTGGGTTATTCAAATTATAGGATGTAGAAGAGAAAATTGAGTGTATAAAAGGCTAGGCAGAAACAGTACTTTTATTTCTTATGAACAAAAATCCATGCTTTGCTAATAATTGTCAGAAAATTTAGTATTTTAAAATTAAGCTTTATTTTTTAACCTTGTGTTTATTCTTTTGTGTTGATCAAATAAATGAATGTAGGTTTTCAAGTAAAAATATAGTACTAGTAGACATATTTGATTTGAATCCTAAGGAGGAGCTGGAAGTGAACCTCAAAGCGAAAAACATGGAAGTTTTAATGCTCATTATTCCTAAAATGGCAATACTAAGCTTAGTGGAAATCAAAAAAGAACATATGCTGTGATAATAAAATTAGGCTTTACTCATAAATATTATAGTATACATCTTAATTCATTTATATAATATCTGTAAAATAGGGGACTTCTCTAGACAATCAAAAGGCTTTTAACCCAGTTGGCCCACTGGTAATACTATACTATTAAATTCCATTTTAATAAATATGTGAAGTATAATTCCCTACATGTTCATGATAAAGAGCATGCTTATTTTGTGTTAAAGGTGTATAGTGTAGACATTATGAAGTTGGTTGTTCCTATGTACTTTTGTAGACATGCTAAGGTCTAATTTTGTTCCTACTCTTCAAATGCTTTGAGCATTTGCTCTCCTTGTAGAATATACACTTGTTGTGACCTCTTATTCTGTTGAAAGAATTAAAGACTTTAAGAATGAAAGCTCAAAAACATTTATACAATATTTTAAATTCTCTTGATTATTCAAACTGCAGGATCTTTTAGTTGTTTTTGGTCGCATCTTAATAAGCAATAGCCTCCTCAGTGGAAGAGAAAGAGAGAAGAGAACAAGAAGAGAGTTTCTAATTAATTCTATATTAAAAATAGTAACTTGACTTATCTACTTCTTTGTCTTTCATCAACTGTCTGCAAAATCTTGCCTTCTGCATTATGGTACTCTTGCCTTAAATTGGCAGTCGTTTGTACCGTGTATTCCACTTTGAAACTTGCAGATGTGTTTATTTACCATAACCCCGATTTTGGAGATATTAAAAAAGCCAAAACTCTAGTCTCTAGTCAAGGATATTTGAGAACACAAGATACATAATGGATTAGAAGTATATATTTCTGTTTTTAATGATATTTGCTTGTGTACAACATGATTGTGTCCACCCACAATAGTGTGTGTGGGTGTGTGGGTGTATTTATATATCTATAAAATAGGAGTGTTGAACTGTGATCATATGTTTTCCTATAGACAAATGTGGGAACACTTTATTCTTTACTCATTACTGAAATTTCAAAGAACATATTTCTTTGTAATCCATTCTGTGACTTTATTTCTCTTAAAAATGGTTGGGTTAAGTTGCTTAAACTTTGGCACAAAAAACATTTGTCTCAGCATTCTTTCTTCATGATTTAAGCAGAATTGAAAAATTGAAGTAATAAAATCCAACAAATACATCTTATTATTAAATAATGCTTTATCTTGTTAAAGACACCAGATACTTTAGCTAGGTACACCCCAAACTCTCATTATTTAAATCTCACATTTTGGAAACATTTTTTTATATAATGTCTTTTCCTGTATCTGATAGAACTTTTAAACTTACAACACTCATCCTTTGACATTCCGCAAAGGAAGCGTGAATTAATCATCGAATGTGTCCGGCAAGGGGAGAGGCATCTTACTGACGCTGCGAGCTTTCAGCAGGGCACATACAAGCTGTGTAAGAGATGACAGCACGAGACAACATCCCCACAGCTATTGCATTGCTGCTTGCTCAGTTCCCGGTCTCTTCAAATTCTAGGCCTTGATAGTACAGGAGTGGATTCGGTGCTTACATAATGTTGATTCTGTTATTGCACTTTCTGGAAAAATAGAGGTTACTGTTAGCAAAACAAACTGGGCCAGGGGTTATTGTGTATTTTTTGAAAGCATTTACAAGAAATGGTTTAATAAGCCATTGTTTTTTTTACAAAAACTACATTTTATTAAGAATCACAGATGATTGTATTTATTTTTATTTTTATTTGTTTAACTTTATTATTTTTGTGTGTGAGGAAGACTGGCTCTGAGCTAACATCCATTACCAGTCGTCATCTTTTTGCTGAGGAAGATTAACCCTGACCTAACATCTGTGCCCATCTTCCTCTATTTTGTATGTGGGATGCTGCCACAGCATGGCTTGATGAGCAGTGTGTAGGTCTGCGCCAGGGATCCAAACCCGCGAATCCCAGGCTGCCGAAGTGGAGCGTGTGAACTTAAGCGCTACACCACCAGGCCAGCCCCGACTGTATATTTTTTTTAAAAAATGAAGTCTAGTCAGAGAGCAAAGGAGAATGATTTCATTACTGCTTATAATAGTACAGATCAATTTAGAAAGGGGAAGCATTTGTTAGAGAGCAATGGTAAATTTTTTTTGTTCAAAGTCTGCCCAGAAAACAGATTTTATGTGAAGGACTGCTGGGTGGCTTCTCTCATATCCAGTGAGTAGTGTTATTGACAAGTTTTGTCAGCTTTGTTGCTCATGTGCTTTTTCCCTTGGTTTTTTTTCTGCTTGTTCTTATTGATTTGTAAACAGCTAAGGACTAGAATCTGTCATCTAAGTCTTTGGTGTCTCCCTCCACCAAGGAAAGGAGTTTTGAATGATACAATACAATACAATACAATGCAATGCAATACAATACAATATAATACAATACAATATAATAAATGTCTATAACATAGGTCATTTATTCAGGCAGGAATATGAAGCTTCAGCGAGAAGATGGAGCTTGTCAAGAGCAGAATACACCATTCCACTCCCTCTAATTCTTTCCAATCTTGGAAGTTACAAAGAATTATATAAGTTAATGCTTATATAAATATAAAATAAATATAAATAAATAAATATAAAAATGTGGGATGAGTATGAGGCTGGGAGATGGAAATTCTACCTTGAGTTCTGTCATGATCTAGTTATGCCACTTTCCCTTGCTTATCTGTAAAGTAGGATGTTGGACCAGTTGATGTTTAAATTACCTTCTAGTTCTAAGATGAAATCTTTTCTATTGAAGGGTAGTAGCATTTTCTTGCGTTAATTCTCTATGCCAGGTAATATCTCTCTTAAATCTCCAGAGCATAGGACTTGGTTTCACTCCAAGTGGCTCTTATGATCATATAAGTCCACAAAATGGACTGCAATTTTAGTAACTAAATTTTTAATGATCTAAAAAGATGTTATTAAATCTGGAAGTCATTGTTTTGTAATTTTGTTGTTTTTTTAGTTGTTATTTTGCTTTGTCTTAGCAAGATGGCATGATTTTACTTTTTCCTTTTCACCTTTACCAACTGTCAGTAGTAAAATTACTAAATTGGCTAGCAGTTGTGAACAAGAGTCTTAATCACCACATCCATGCTCTACAGAGCACAGAAATGCTCAATCTACATGTAATGTTTTTATTCTGATGCCCTTGTGCCCTGTGTCACCCTCAGGGTTGCCAGCCTCATGTGTATTTGCAGATGGAACAGCCAATGCCTTGCTGCAGCAAATAGACCACCCCTTAGCGAATAAACCACTAACACTCGATTTGATAATAATGTTAAAACAGTCCTGCTATTTTATTATTCTCTATGTCATCTATTTTCTATTTCTTTTTTAGGATATCCTTGAAGATTAATCAGAGAACCTTTCACTCGCCTATAAAGGTAGGAAAAAGAAAACTTTTCTGGTTATAAAATATGTTGTATTTGTTTTAGCTGTGTTTCAATAATTTACTCTTCTTGTTAGATAGAAATGGAATTGATGTTGCTTATTCTGAATAACTGAAAAGTGTGTTATATCTACTTACTTGCTAAACTTAAAATCATTCAATGCATAGTGTTTAATCAGTTTGAATTTTTCTTCCATACTATTACATACTATTACGTTTATTATATATTATTACAGTTTATGTTTTACTGTAGACAGAATTTATTCTTTCTTTTACATTTTTGTATTACCCCCTCAGTAATTTTAGGGTAGTTTGACATTACCATATATCAGGAAGGCAATTTTATAATATAGTCATTTATATATATCAATATATGCAATATACTGTTAAAAACTGAGATTCTCTTGTCTACCATTATTTCATATTTTTCTTGCTATTATAAACCTGTAATTTTTTGAGAGAAAAACAAAGTAACCATAAGTGTAATTAGCTGTCAGTGATTTAGTAATATAAATGTTAATTTGGGAGAATTTGCTTCAGTGTTAGCTTTACTTATTAAGAGTGCCAGAAAATGTGGCCCCTTTCTTGGCTACGACGTATGTGAAGATAAATTTAGAATTTCTAGTCTAGTAAATACTTCTCTGATAATAGCTTAATTGTAGCTATTTCAAACCAAATTGTTTAATTGTGGTGAATCATATGCAAATTGTTCAGATGTAGGTCAACTCCCACTCCCACATTCTAGCATCTCTTTTCTAATTCAGGACAAACTGCTCAATGCCTAAAAGAGGCAGAACAGTACAGATTAAAGGCAGAAGACAAAAAACAAAACAACAATAACATAAAACCAACAGTGAGCCAGGAGTCAGAAAGTGTTCGTAAAAATGGCAAGGCAGGTTGCATTTATTTATGCCTTAGTTGATCCCTTATGCTGGCTGTGTGTTTGTAGATAATAATTTGCTCACTGCTCGTGGGATTTGTAGCTTGGTTTGCAAATCATGGTGCCTCTAGGATGCTAAGTTTCCTCATCTGTAAAATACATGCAGTAATATCGTTCTTGTCTGTTCATTGAACTGAAATGAGGATCCAGTGCTATAACGAGTGGGTGACTCCTCTAATCCCATATGGGAAGGGCATGTGATTTTTGATGATCTGGGTGAGTGACAGAGGAGTGGGCTGCACTGATGGGAAGGAATACCTGTGTAGCTCTGGGCAAGGCCAACTGAAATATATTGCAGTTATAGAAACTACAGAAACCTTTCATTTTTCTAGTTATTACATTATACTTCTCGCCTATAGTTGCCTTTGTGATGAAGCATTGTGTCGTTTTCTGATGAATGGCTGCGCTTTTATGATTCTATGTGATCTCTGTATGTCATCTACTGTACTTACTTCCAAAGAAAATTTTTTATTTCCAGTTAATAAAGCATTGAGAAATGATAAGGCAGATTCACGAATTTGTTACATTTTTGTCTTTTATCTTTAGGTGATTATTGCCAATGTTTTTGGTATTGGCAGAAAAGAGTGAACCTTGCTGGTTATTGATGAAAAACTGTTTTTTTTGGTTTTAATTCTACTATAATTAGAATTCTGCCTTAATATAAACATAATTTTTTCATTATCATTCTTCACTGGAGTTTGTTCAAGAATTTGAATTTATATTTTTATATAATTTATGATCTTTAACATTTTCTAAAATTTATTTTGAATTAAATTATTCATTCTTGAAGAATTATTGAATTAAATTTTTGAATTAAAAAGTGATAGTGATTTTTCTAATTCTTAGAGTAGGGAAAATAGATGCTGTTTACTTTGTGCTTCTTCCAATATAAATATCTTTCATGTTTGAATTATTTAAAATAAAAAAATAGAGAATTATGCTAAGTACAAAGTAATATTTCCCTCAAAGTTAGCTACTGCTAAAGTTTTGGTGTTAATTCTTCAGGGTCCCCTCTTTATAAACATAAACATCAATATCAATATGTGCATATAATGCTTTCATACTATATGTGTGATTCTGTTTTTTAACATTTTAATTATGAACATCCTTCTAAGTCAAAATATGTTATCTATTTCATCCTTTTTAATGACTGCATACTAGACAACTTTTTTGATGTACCATGATTTATTTAATAGGCCCTCTAAACTTTTTTTTTAAAGAGAACTTTAAAATAGAATAAAAGAAGACCTTCCTTAATTACACGTTTGGCAGGCATACAAAAGAATAATTCCCATTCGTACATCGAATCGGGAAATTAAGGAGCGAAGAAAAAGTGTTACAGTAAAGAGGCATAAAAAATATTATTAGGTAAGTGCACATAAATGGTCAGGGGAAAGAAAAGCTAATAATATAGATGTTCATGAAAAGGTGTTGTAGTTATGTAATACTAAAATTATACTAGTTTCTTCAAAGTTCACCCCAAGATACCTCTTTCATAAGCATTCAAAGAGACTCTTCCCTTCATTCTCATTCTCACCAGCTGTCTTACATCTCCATAGCACTTTGGGAAAAATAGACCTTATTAGATGATATCACATATAAAAATTCATTTTGCGTATATCTTTTTTCCCCTGCCAGGCTGTTAACCCCTGGAGGGTAATGACTCTGTTATTCATCTTTGAACCTAATAGATGCTGAATAAATGTTCGTTCAGTTAAATTGAATTGAAGTGTGAGAAAAAGGAGTAATCAGGTAGAAATTTTTAATCTTACCAAAACTTTTTAAAGTACCATTGTCTCTCTGTGTCTCAGTTATCTCTGGAGTAAATTATAATCAATTCACCTGCAAGATGAGACACAACTAATATAAACAAATGGTTTTTGATAGATGATGAAAATTATTTTAAATTGACCTTTAAGGATTCTTTGTGGTATTCATGCTCAAAATCGTACCTACAAGTCAACTATTTAAAAAAATCTGTAAGTTTATGAAATAAATACTCGTATGGTGCTGAACTTGCTTACACATTACTTCATATGGATCTAAAAGCACTTCGTCAGCTTTAAAGCATTATACACATGCAAGACATTATTATTATTATTGTTAAGACAGTAATTAAATTGGCTCTGTGGATTAAAAATATAGATGATTATTTACAAAATAGAAGTAATATATAAAAGAAGCAATTCTTTGTGTGAATTCTGTTAGAAGAAAGGGAGTATTATTTTTAGTACTTTGTATAGTACACTTTGCTACTCATGCCATTTAAATGAATGTTTGGCATTGTCTTAACGAGCAAAAGTAGAGTTATTAATAGTGTGAATTATACCTGAAAGAACACCTGATTCCACATTAGCCAGAATGAAATGGTAATGTGAATTTAAAATATCTGAAGATATATACCAATATCAACTTACATTATAGAAAAATAAAGCATTAGTGAGTATAAAGGTCTCTTGAAACTGAATGTAATGCCTAGAACATAATAGTTTTTCTCCTCATCCGACTTGCATAAGTCACTAGCCCCAACTCTGATTTTACATATACTTTTATTTTTTTGTGTGAGCAAGATCAGCCCTGAGCTAACATCTGATGCCAATCCTCCTCTTTTTGCTGAGGAAGATTGGCCCTGGGCTAACATCCGTGCCCATCTTCCTCTACTTTATATGGGATGCTGCCACAGCATGGTTTGACAAGTGGTGTGTCAGTGCCCACCTGGGATCTGAACCTGTGAACCCTCTGGCCATCGAAGCGGAGTGCACGCCCTTAACCGTTGCACCACAGGGCCGGCCCCTATGATTTCACATATTTTTTACTGGGCAAGTTAGGAAGAAGGAAACAATCTTGGCCAGTATTTTCTAAAAAAATTTTTTTTGAGCTTGTTGCTGACCTTTTTAAACTCAGAACTTGAGACTTAGTATTTCAAATGCATACTTTTGCGTTGTCTTTGTTCTCAAAGCTCTCCCAGTCATTGTTATCTATTTGGCCAGGGTTGCACATGCAAGTACCTTCAGGATCCATGCATACAACAAAATGAGTGTAACAAATAGTATCAGACAATAGGGAGTGGTGTGGACTTCTGAACAGATGATCATAGGCTCAACATATGAGGTCTACTTCTACTCATTCTAGTCCAATTTTATAGTCAATTGTATGTTCCAGTGGCCATAAGTTCTGAAGGAATAGGGAGTTAAATATTGGAATTTTTCTGTGAAATCTCATGATTTTTGAACGTTGGATCAAATTTTAAAAATTGGAAAAAAAAAGAAAACCTTGTAAAGGAGTCAAGACATACCTTAGGTAGGCAATTTGCTGCCTTTGCATAGATAACCATGTAAATATTTGCTCAATCAATGAGTAAGTCATAGACCTCTATAAGAATTGGGAAATTAAAGAACACTCTAACCTTTGTTCTCCCTTGTCCATTAGAAATTTCATACAATATTTTAGGAAGGGCCACAGTCATAGCAACAAATATAGAGACCTACCAGGTAAGACTTTTCAATCTATCTCTGAGTTCCAGAAGCCAGAAAGATCAGAAGGGGGAGAGCAAGAGTGAACCAAGTAAACTAAGAATGTGTTGTTAAAATATTTTATGATATGCAAAAGAATGGTGCCTAAGAAACATCATTTTTTGGACACATTTTTATCTGACCCCCAACTTACCTTATGCTACTAATTTATTACTGCCTTGTCTTTTATTTGATGTTGCTGCAAATCTTTTGTCTCTTATTAGTCTTAAAAGAAAATGATGAATAAGGATAATGGATCAAAAGGAAGTTAAATGCATGAGGAAAATAAAAATTAAACATGCATATCCTGTCACATAATCATTACTGAGTAAACAATGGTCCAATGGACCCGGGTTAGTTTTCCATTCTGACCTAAGATTTACTTCCTATTTGAGATCTCTCCTACTTTCCTTCTTGACAGGCTCACCCTTCCCTCTTCTATATCAATCCTTTATTATACTACCACATATTTCACTGTACTTAATGGTATTAATTACAGTTTCTCACATGTCTCTCTTCCCAAGTAGAATTGAGAATCTCAAG